CCATGTCAAATAAACACTTTTGATTTCCATTTTGTATTAGGCAACTCAAACTTCACCAGGCTTGATACACAGTCTACAGCCATTAGGAGATCAAAATACTTCCATACCAATGGTAAATCTGCTACTCTAACACTATCCTGTACCGCCGCTGATCCAGACCCTAATCTGAGTCATCTTCCTTTTGAACTTTGACCTCCCCTTGGCCCCTTCACCTCTTTGCTTTTCATGATCCAGTGACTCAATAGTTAACACTGGGCACAGCAGGAATCTCCAGTATCTGCTCCTGGGTTAAGCGTCCATCTAGTCATGCCTCCCTAATTTTGTATATTTTGATGATCACCCTGGTAAGAAGTTAAACTTAATATTCAAGTTAAGTGGTACACTAGAGTATGAACTAAAGCACGGAGATTACTGGTAAAAATAAAGGCCAAATGAATATGAAAATACTGAACTGAATTAAAACACACACACACACAGAGTTTAAAATGTTCATGTGATTAATGATTTTTAGAAAGAGTCAGAAGGTCAGGTAGGAACTGGGAAATGGGCAGTCACTGCCCTCTTCACTTCCAGCCAGTGAGAAAACAGCTTCCACAGTTTTCCCAGTCACTGCAGAGGGTGTGCCCAGGCTGAATCCCATCTCTGCTTTCTCCGGCCTTTCTAGGACTATGAAATTATATTCCCTGCTCTGCTGATAGCCCATGGCAGGGATCATGATAGCAACATACTAGAAAAAAGAGCCATTGAAAAAATGCAAATGCAGCAGCCAGAAAAAATCGGGGTAGAAAATGTTAAGCCATAGTTAAACCACCGAACAATTTACATACTTCCCACCAGCCCTCAAACCCGGGTCTCCAAGTGCAAGAAATATGTTATCCAGACCTGATAATGGAAATTTATATCCCACAATTTGCAACCTGCTGGCTGTGTTATGCCAAGTGCATTTTAAACCAGACACTCTTCAACCTAACTGCATGCAAGTTCTCTAATTGTGTTATTTAAAGACATGTTTCTATTTTCTCATGCACACCCAGATCACTTTGCTTTCCCCCTAAAGCAAGCAGTAAAACAAAACAAAACTGATGAGTTTTTATTTTGCTCTGCACCCAGGAACCCAGACTAGAAGTGTAGTGGGGACTGGCATGAGCTTTCTTTCTTTGAGCCCCCAGGTCAGATGCTGGGATTTCTTAATTGTTGCCAAGGCTAGAGTTGTAAATAATAGCACCCTGGCACACAGAGATAAATGTCTAAGACAGTTATTCTCAACCAAGGTCAATTTTTCCTACCTCTCGAGGGGATATTTAGCAATGTCTGGTGATGTTGCTGGTTGTCACAATGGGGACAGTGGGTTGTATTAGATCCTGTGCTGTGTGCTTTACTTGTAAATCTCAATTAAGCACCACAATAACCATGTCAAATAAACACTTCTAATTTCCATTTTGTATTAGGCAAGAGAAACTTCATATAGACTGGTCTGTAGTGGATAGAGACCAGAGATGCTAACAAATAGCATACAATGCTCAGGACAAACCCCCCACAAAAAGGAAATACTCACCCAAAATGCTAATAGTAATAGTGCCAAAGTTGAGAAACTCTTGTCTAAGGTAATACTAAAAGTCAAATAATTTTACATGAAGAGACCAGTGATTTATGTGTTTGCTCTTGTCTCTGGGAGCCACAGCTGATTTCTGCAAGTGCCTTTGCAGCTTGAACTATGACCCTAGAGATCACAGTGGGGTCCTCCACTTGGGAGGCTGAGATCAGTCTCCAGACATGGGTCTGGAGGCCAAGCCAGGGTAAGGACAGCCTAATTCAGTCTACCAGCACCAGAAAGAGTCACAGAGACAGTGGTAGCAAATTCCTTGAAAGTATCAAGTAGAGTATCAAATTGATATCAAATTGATATCAAATTGACATCTCAGATTCAAGAGCAGGAAGAGCCAGAGATAGGGGACAAGGCCAAGGTCTCGAGCTTAATTGAACCAATGAGAAATGAGGACAAATTGCATCAACCAAAGAGTCTGGGGCTGCTAGGAGATTATCTATCTGTGTTTCTCTAACTATATATCCCATTGCTTTTGTCTCTGTGCTTATTCAAGACCAATGCCCATTCTTTAATTTAAAGAAAAATGAAGGTTTCCTGGTTTATGCCTTTTCTTATCACCGCTGTCTGCATGGACTTTGAACCTCAGTCTCATGCAGGCACTGGGAAGCAGAAAGTCACCAAAGCTGAGAATTGGTGTGGCCTCTCTGTTCTGGATCAGCACTTTTTAATGGGATTACAGATCACCTACGGACGTTATTAAAACAAAGATTCCAATACAGTAGGTCTGGGGTGAGGCCTAAGATTCTCCAGTTCCAGCAAATTCCCAGATGTAGATGCTATTCTTCAGCAGACCACACTTTGAGAAACATGGTTCTAGATCTCAATTTAAAACTTTATTTTTGTAACTAAGAGAACATAGGGTAATTTGGCAAAAAGACTACTAACAGACTCCTCCCCTCCACTGTCATTTTTACCCACCCAACACCCCCTGCCAGAATGAATAGAAGGAAGGAATTATGCTCAACAAAATGCCTTTGAGGTGTTCAATATACATATTTCAAGAAGCTAAAATGTGACTTTTAACAAATATAAAATGAATATGTACAAAAATTTTCTTCATCATTAGATGTGAGGGAACCCATAAGATGTTACAATTATTTAGGGGAGAATTCAAGAAATACAGCCATATATATGTGCTGATATAGTGAAATAATCTTACAAATAGATACAAAACTTGTCAATAGTCACAGGGCAATAACCAATTGTATTTATGAGACAGAATTCATTTGCATTTCTAGGACAAGGTCATTTGCATTACTATAGGCTTTTTATAACTTAGAGATTTAGAAAATGGCTCAAAGGTGCAGGCCTCTATATAATCAGAACATTAAACAGAATGATGACTAAACAGAACACCTGAGAATCAATGTTTTATCCATTTCCGTTATTCCACAATTCTTGCTGGTAGAGGTAACACTTTAAGAAAAATATCCTGAGTAAATTGCAAAGCTATATCATTAATATATAGACACTGTTCTCAAACTAGCTTCCTTTCTTATTTCTTCCTAACTACACAAACCAAGCATTAGTAACAAGATGACAACCTGATGATACACAATACCCCCTTTTTACCTCCATTTTTTTCATCCCTGGCTATCTCCACAGAGTTTTCTTTACCATTTTCCTAAACTTCTTTAAGTATTCTCTATCCAGGAAGGCTTCTGTAAAATATCATCTCCTCAGTTAATAATAATAATATTACTGCTATTAACTGATCACTTAACTCTTTACCTCACTGTCACTATCCATTGAGGTTAGTTGCTATTATTTTAGTTTTACAGGTGAGGAAACCAAAATGGAGAAAGATTATGTTCTTTCCACAAGGTCACAACGTCTTACGAGGTAGTGAATATTTTACCACCAGGAAATGAGGAAGATTTTCTCTCCCTTTAAGCTCTAGCACTGTGTCCATGTGGTCATTTAGCTTATTAATATATTCTATGCATAGCTCTTTATCTCTTGGCTCACCCATTTCACCTTTTTTTACTTCTATTTTTTTTAATGCTTTGCACATCTTCCTTGCGTCAAAGTTACCTGTGTGTCTGCTCCTCACAGAAGGAAAACACGACTGCCTACACGTGTATCTGTCCTTCTTCAGGGTGGGCATTTGGTGAATGGAACTGGAAAGTGAGTTTTATGGCAATACAAACATAAATAAAAATACAAAAATACATATGTATCCATGTGATAGGTGACTATATTGTATTTTGATTTTACTCCTTGTATTCAAAAAATTGTTTAAATTTTCTTCTCCAAAGGAAACTGGAAAACCAAGCCAGAAATTCTAATATAATTCAGCTGGGAAAACGGTTTTTGCAAATCATTAGTTTTTTTCAAATACATTTTTATACAGAGTTTTTTTACTCAGGTTCAACTACAGACAGTTTCCTACTGAGTTACCTGGGGTCCTGGGGCCTCAGAGCAGCCCAGGTTGGAAGGGAATCAGATAAACTTAGTGGATATAAGTACATTGTGTGCTTCTCCTCGGTGGATGTAAGTACGCTGTGTACTGTTCTCCCATGTACATGTCCCTTAAAAAATATTCCTAATACTGGTAACCCTCTACCCCAGTTTACAACGGAAGTTCCAGAGACTTAGGTAAAGGAAACATTTAGGAGAAGGAGAGATTTTTCTTAAGTTCCAAAACTTACTCTATGCATATGAGCTGTCAGGTCGTGAAAAGATATGGAGGAAACTTAAATGCATGTTAAAAGGGAAAGAAGCCGATCTGGAAAGGCTACAGACCATTGATTTCAACTATATGATATTCTGGAAAAGGTAAAACTATGGAGAAAAAGATCAGTAGTTGCCAGGGACTGAAAGGTAGGGTGGACATGAATAGGCAGAATACAGAGGATTGTTAGAGCAGTGAAAATATTCTGCATGAGCCCAAAGGAATAGGAACATGTCAATACATAATTGTCCAAATCATAGACTGCATTCAATAAAAGGGAACTGGTGACCCAAGCACTGCCTTTCCTGGCATTGAGCTCTGTGCTCTGGACGTCACTCTGCAAGGAGGTGGGGAAGGGACTACCCTTAAGTGACTCTCAATAAAATAAGGAAGAGGCTAGAAATGACTAACACTGTTGAGTACTTTGGTCTAGAAACGTTAAAGCTAGTGATTTGGAAGTTATTTCAGGATTGCTGAAAGTAAATGTTTAATAAATTCTTTGGGATGTCGGGTCTCACATATGACATAATTGAATTGCAGGCAAGTCGAAAAACAAAGGATAAAAGATAAGCTACTGCAAAAAACATTGTTACCTTCAGGGATTGAGAATGAAATTAGAGTATTGGGTTGTGCAGGTGTGTGTGTGCACATGTATGTCTTGTGCATGTCATTGCACTAGGAAACTTCATTTTTAGGCCATTTCTCTTTTTTATTGTCATTTCTGCCAGGACAATAAAATACAAGAAATGTAATGGTCTTTGTGTTCAAGATGGTTGACTTGTGTCAATATTCTTGTTTTGTCTTTCCAGTTTTCCTTGATTTGTCACTCTCAGCCTGTGGGTGAAAAGAAAAGCTTTGAACAGTTCATTTCAAAGAGAAACAATAGAAACAATAGAAATCCTATTTCAAATCAGTAAGAAACACAGTCAGGATATGTTTCTGAAACTACTATCTAGCAATTTAAAGCCAAATAAAATGTGATATTTTGATTTATAATAAATATACATTTAATCTTCATCTAGTCTCTGCCACAGAGCTTCTAAACCCCTTGGGATTTCCTAAGTGATGAGACATACAGTTGTCCTTTGTTACATTATGAAGTGACTTTTGAAATACCTCTAGGTCACCTAAAGATGGGACCTGGTTGCCAGGGGAACCAGTCTTGTGATTGGAGGAATGGAACTTTGAGCCCCACACCTGGATCTCCCCAGAGGACAGGGGGACTAGAAGTTGATTAATCACCAACAGCCAGTGATGTAATCCGTCATACCTCTGTAAGGAAGCTTCCATGGAAACCCAAAGGACTGGATTTGGAGAGCTTCCTGTTGGTGAACACGTGAGATGTGGGGACAGTGGCGTGCTCCCAGAGGGCACAGAAGCTCTGTACCGTTCCCCATACCATGCTCTATGATTTTCCTAAATTCTGGCTGTTCCTCAGTTGTATTCTGTTATAAAAAAACTGGTGATCTAACAAGGAATATGTTTCTCTGAATTCTGTGAGCCTCTCTAGAAAATTAATTGAGCCCAAGTATAGGGCCATTGGAACCTCTCATCTGTAGCCCTAAAGTCAGAAATACAGGTGACAACCTGGACTGTGACTGGCATCTGAAGCACGGTGGGGGAGTCTTACAGGGCTGACACCTTAACCTGTGGGATCTGGTGCTGTCCCTGGGTAGATAGTGTCAGAACTGAGTTAAATTGCAGGACACCTAGCAGGGGTCGGAGAACTGCTTGTTGGTGTAGGAATACCCACACCCCACTGCATTGAAGCTGGTGACCAGAACCTTCAGAAAGCTAAATCTCTACCTTATACTTTACATCAAGCTTGGTGATGACACAAATGTAAATATAAAATTTAAACTGATGAAAATGACTATTAGTGAATTTTTTATATGTGTGGGGTATGAAAGGCCTGTCTATGTAAGGCCATCCAATGCACATAAAAAATAGAAATATATATGAACTTGCATATGTAAATTAAAATATTTCTGTGCAAAATCCCACCATAGTATAAAATGCAAAGACAAGAACTAAAAGCAGGACAGTTCTGTGAAGCGGGAGAGGGGGAAGAAACTGGGTTTGAGAGAGTGGAGGAGTTAGAAAGAAGAGGGGAAATGAAGAGAGAAGGAAAGCCCAGAAAATTCTTTCAAGAATTTTGCTGTGCAGAGACAGAGAGAGAAATAGAACGGGCATTAGAGGTAGATGTGGAATGTGGAAGTGTTCTTTCAAAAGGAGAGTCTTTATGTTTGAGAGTCAACTGTGAGCATCCAGCTATATCACCACCCCGAACGGGACCTTGTCAATCCTCAGATTACTGGAGCAAAGCATTTGACACTGGTCACTCTCCTGGAAACACTGCCGGTGGCTTCCAGAGCACAGCGTTCTCCGTATACCCTTTCACCCTCTAGTTTGTTTTTCTCAGTAGCTCTGACAGACTCATCTTCCTGCGCTGAACCCAACTGATAGAGTTCCTCCAAGCTCGGTCCAAGGTTGCTTCCTTCCTCACTCTCCGAGCCAGTTGTATCCGCATCCCTAGCTTCAGGTATCATTGACATGCCTCTGACAAACAGGTGTCTGTCTTTCATCCACATCCTCTTTTCTGAACTTCACACCCATGCATTCAACCAGCCCTTTAAAATCTCCATTTGGAGGCCTGCATGCCAGAGGGGTGTTATCATGTCTACAAATAGGACCAAGCTTGGAATCTCTCTGTACTCTCCCCCCAGCCCTCTTCTGGTGTTATTTTTGTGAATGACACTCGAATCTGTGCACTTACATAGGGCACAAAACTAGAAATTGTCCTTGTTATTTTCATTCCCTTCAACTCTGACATCCAGTTTACCACTAAATGCTCTTGATTTTGTTCCCTAAACACTCTTGAAATCCATCCAGACTGGTCCCTCTGCACTGCTAATAACCCAGTTAAAGCTATCAGCTCCTCTTTATCAGATAGAGGACAATGATAACAGATGTTGCCTCCAAACCACTGTCCATCTGGCAGCCAAGAGATCTTTACAGCAAATTCCAATTATTCTGAGAATCATGACGAAAGTCCTCCGGTGGCCCTGCGTGAGTTAGTTTCCCATTTCTGCATTCTTCTCCTGTTCACTGTCCAAGTTGCTCTCCGACCTCAGCCACACTGACCATTTTTCAGTTTTTTTGAAATGCCCAAATCCCTCCAGCTATGGGGTCTTTTCATGGGCCTTCTATCTGTAATGTTCTTGCCCATCCTCAACCCTTTGGGCCAGGCTGACCCTTCTCACTCTTCACACCCCAGATTCATCATCACCCTTTCAATGACCTGATGAATCTGATGTGTTCCCATGCGATATGCTTTCCAAGGACATATCCCATTCCTTCATGGTGTATATCTCAGTCTACTATTGTTCAATTATTTGTGTGATTATTTCTATTCTTGACTTATACCTCTGTTCTCCACTAGTATATGAGTTTCATGAGAGAGAGAGCCATGCTCGCTTTTCTAGCAAATATACTCAAGGCATGTGGTACAGTGGCCAGCACAAAATAAGATTATAGTAAATGATGAGCGCATTAGTAAGTGAACAAATGAATGAATCGATGAAACAACTAGCCGACCTTAGACAGACTGCCTCATACCTTTATTTCTTATTCATCTTTCTGCAGAATGACGGTGGAGCTAAAATGAGAAAATATATGTAAAAATCTGTAACTGAAATTGCTAAAAGGACGTTTAACTTACATCGACTTGCTACCGATAGCTTGTCTTCATTCCTCCCTTTGCATGGGTGCACTTGACAGGGCTCCAAGAAAATACTGTCAGTTCACAATCTCAGGCTGTAGAACCTGCAGGGTGGCCTCAGTGACCCTGACTTCTGCAAGCTTACATTTTAGGTTTCAAGGTTTAACATGATGCTGAGAACGATCAATACCTGGTTGATTTGCTTCTAATCTTTTTTGGCTTTGAGAGTTAGCAGAATTCACAAGCTTAAACTCTTGTTCAACTAGGAATCTAGAGGGAATAGAATCTTATTCCAAAAGACATTTGTTTTAATGTCAGGGTGTGGAGCAGACAGAGCTGAATGCTGAAGGCCAAGGCCATCTGTGTGTGTTTCAGCATCCAGCCCATGGGTTTGAACACACACCCTGACACACACATACTCACACCTCAAAACAAAGAGAAAACAATAAACTCTGGGTGGCCCTAGTGTCTGGATATTAAACAATATGAGCCCTTTCTGATTGCTAATCTTTGGAGCCACCAGGTGACCTGGCCTTTCTGCAGGTCCTAACAGTGATTTAGGGAAAAAGATTCAGTATTTTAACAAAGGAACACTCATGTTTTCTTGATTGTCATTCTGACCCTACTCTTCAGCTTTGAGTCACAATTCCAACAAAGTTATTGGATCTCAAAATTGCCAAGGCCTAAGGACTGTAAGAAATACATCAGAAGGATACATAGAGGCCAGGAAAAAGGAAGACAATAATGGAAAGGGTGGAGGGTTTGCACAAATGTCTGCTTTACATCAGGACTAAGAGGAAGGCCCTTGAGTGAGAGGGCCTGAACCCCACCCATCCCCACACACTGGCCAGAGATGTCTGGTGGACGACAAAAGTGAATTATTCAGTGGTTCACCAGCTCTCCTCTAGAGTGATTCTGCATCTGCATTAACTGGATTTGTAAAATCTCCTCACCTCCCTTTTCTACAGCAAATGCAGAGTATCTGATTCCCCAGTAGGAAAAAAACAGACTCAACAATTCTCTGCTGTGTTTGGTCCATTTCATCAGTTCATTCAAACCATCACAAAAAAAAAATGGATGGAGTTTTGTTAACTAAGAAAGCACGTTTCAGAGTGTAGATGGACTTTTCTTAAATTTTAAATAGTTTTACTGAGTTAAAACAAATATATATATATAAAGAAATTCTTTAAGTCCATAATTTAAAACCTCATCTCATATATCTGCTGTTAATTTAAAAAGCAAAGGGATAATTCATTAGTTATGAAAATGAAGGGCAATCACTGTTATGAATTTCTTATGTTACCTTTAATTAAAAAGCTACTTTCATATATCAACTTCTCTCCATCAGTCTGCCCATATACAGTTTTTCTATTTTCTTTCCACATAAGATATATAATCTATGTTTAAAGAATGTTTTATTCTGGGAATTTTAAACTGGCACCAAGTGAGAGAAGAGGGCAATAAATTTTATGTACCCACACAACTCCAACAAATACCAATATTGTGCCTATCTTGTTTCATCTGAACTGCTGACTTTTTTCTTTTCTGGGGCATTTGTTTCAATGCCAAATATATTATTTAATTCTTCCGCAATTCAATAAGCATATAAGGACTTTAAAATATCATATGCCATAAGCATAACTACCAAAAATAAAAATAATGCCTTAATATCTAATGTGCAGTCCTTATTGAAATTCTGATTAATCCCAAAGGTATTTATTTACAGTTGGCTTGTTTAAATAAAACTGTTTCGAGTCTATATAATCTGTTGGACTATTGTGCCTCTTCATACGGTAGAATTCTTTTTTTAATCCATTTTGCTGAACTATGTTTTGATTGGTTTGCTAAACTCTGTGCTCTGATCTGAAGCATTCTTATTTAAGATTATTAATGACATGTTAGCACTTAAGTCTGTCACTTTATGACTGATTTTCTGTTTGTTTCTTCCTATTTCTCTTTGTTTCCTTTTTGTTGGATACTTGAACATTTTTTTAATAATTCCTCTCTATTTATTTATAGTGTTTTGGGTGTGTCCCTTTTATAGTTTCTGTAGTGGTTGCTCTGGGTGTTACATATGTAACAATCTATCGATGTCAACATTTTATCATTTCAA